ATAACTTGATGAGTCTAGAGACTGGTATTTCATAATTTCCCGGGAAAACTCCCATATAGAGAAAACATGCTTTTAAATGGGCAGGCAAGTGTTTGTAACTAAAAGATAATATTTCCAAGCACTGGGCATCTTCCTCTGCTACAAATGAGCTTAAATTTTCAGCAACATACTCCCAGAAATCTTTTTCCTTGTTGACCTTTGAGAGGAGTCCACCAATCACCACAATTAGTAATGGAAGTCCTTGACAATTTTCCACTATCTTTGTTCCCACATCCACCAAATCAAGAGGGCAATTTGCTTTGCCGAACACCTTTTGAAGAAACAAATTCCAACTTTCTTCGTCGTTAAGAAATCGCATCTGGTGATGAGCATTAGATGAGTTGACGTAATCAGCCACATCTTTTACCCTGCTTGTCAATATGATTCGACTCCCATTTTTATCATCTGGAAATAACATTTTTATGTCATTCCAAGCATCGATACTCCATATGTCATCTACTACAATTAGGTATCTCCTACCCTTCAGATTTTTGTGCAAATGATCTTTGAATAGATCATCATCCTCTCCGCGTACGTGATCAGTAACAACTATGTCCTCTAGAAGTCTTAGAAGAATGTCCCGCATGCGATATTGTGAAGACAAAGTTACCCAAGCACGAATATCAAAGCGATACTTGATAAATGGATCATTAAAAGCGTTCAAAGTAAGAGTAGTCTTACCCATGCCTCCCATTCCAACAATGGGAACGATTTGGAGTTTAGATTGTCCATCACAGAGTCTCTCCCTTATATGCTCCAAGTCTTGAGCAAATCCCACCATATAAGGCTGGCCACTAGGAGTAGGTCCTGATGGCAAAAAATTCCTTGGCTGAAGATTTTGTTCGCCCCTCACATCCTTAATCTGCATCACCTCTTCTACAATGGTATCAATTTCTGTCATTACTTTCTGCAAGTCTGGATGATACTTTTTAGCAGATTGCATATTTGCAGGAAAATAAAATAGTTTTTGAAAAAGATTTTGCTGTTTTGAAAGAAGACGATCCGATATACGGGACTCAAAGACATCTTCTGCACGGTAAGCCGCGTGTCTGATTTTTCTTTCCAGTGATTTCACATCTTCCCTGCTACTTTGGTAAGATTCTTCAAGAAAATTTAGTAGTGAACTGAGTTTTTCTAAGAGAGGTAGAAGCAGTTGATTTTTAGAAGGTTTCGACACTCCATCTCCATGACGGATCTGCTCAACAGTGTGCATAAGAGAGACGACAGCAGCATGAGCCATGAATTGATCTGGGCTGGGGTATTTTCAGAAGGCCAAAA